CTTGTTCATTTTCTAGATGTATCATGCGTCCGTTGTGAAGACAGCGAACATTAGTCTTCCGCTCAGCTTCAACCATTCAGTGCTTGCAATTTTAGTCGAAAACCAGGGTCACATCAACTATGGAGCCTCCATGGTGGGCGATGTGAAGGTGAGTAGCTTCTGTTTTCTGCCAGATTCTCCTTGAATGCTCTTGCTCATGGCCTGAATCCAGTCAGCTTCTGTGGGTTTTAACGAAGCACGCCGTTTAGAGTGGGGGGAGAGGGTAAACACGCCTTTTTGCGCACTGCAACTACTCGCCGGATAGCGCCTGCTGGGGTCGGCCTATTTTCCTCTACTTCTGCTCTTATCATCCCTGAATCGTCATCTCTACTCCTACACAGAGTAAACAACTTCATTTCTCCCTTATCGATTAGAAATGAATGTCCCACTGGTATGATAAGTGGTTAGCTTGCATGTTTGGGGATAAGTTTCGCGTAATTCCCAGTACTTTGCTTTATAAAAGGTGTCCTACAGTTTCTGGTAAGATCCGAGTAGCATGGACTCAAGCCATAGGGCGCGTGTGTTTGCTATAATATAAATGGACTCTCAGGGGTCTAAACCCCTAAACGGCCCTTGTCTTCCCAACCTGGTCGAAGCGCATAGCCGTCGCTGGCGTCTTCAGTGAGTTCCCGTTTGTTCGTGATGTAAATGGATCCCGTTGCATCGGGAATGGGTCCACGATGTAATAGAACGACTCACCGGGGCTTGTCCAAAAACAAGACTTTTCAGCAACCTATCCGAATAATAAATTTGGGCTTACTTATGCGGCGTTTCATCAAACTTGGTTATTGTGTCTTCGGTGCAGACGCAACGTAAAGCGGTGACTCTTCGCTCCCTACGTATATTAGCTTTTCTTTGTCAAATTTCCAGAGTGGCAGTCTGTGCATGCCTGACATGCTCGGTCGTGTATTAAGGATTTTACGTCTTTTGGAATGATCTCGGCTCGTTTTGCTTCCTTTCCCAGCCATCTGGTTGATAGAAGACCTGTTCTAAATGTGATTTCCTTTTGGCCTTTACAACCAAATTAACTTTGCGACATTGACCTATCGCTGCTTTTGAGGTCATCCGTTCCCATGAGATATCCATCAGCAGCGCTGTACTACCCAGGGACTTGTACTTACTTGTACTTGATACGGCTGAGATCATGCCTGATCTAGCCGGCCTCGATGATGTAACGAACTGTACCTCTCCACGCGTGACGACCCGCGGCATCAGATCTGGACAGCTCAACCCATTCCCTTCGTCAACGACGTAGACCGAATAGCGAAGGTCCAAGAACCACCTCCATGTCTTGACGAACTGTGTCGAGCCAGGTTTTGAACTGAACCCCTCTTGGACGCCTCCAACGGTGTCGGATCGAGGGCAGTAACACTGAGCTTCTGAGGTGGACGACGAAGAACATGCCCGAACCACCTCAGTCATCTTTCTTGGATGGCCTGAGTTATCCTTGCGATGCTGTCGCAGCGAGCGCGAACTGTCTCCTTTGTAACGATGTCGGTGAACTTCACTCGAAGGATGGTCCTCAAGCGGTGGTGGTCAAATACCTTCAGTTTTCGCTCGTCCTCCACGCGCAAACCCTAGCATTCACAATCGTAGAGAAGGACAGACCGGACAGATGCTCGGTACACACGAATCTTAGTGGCGATGAAGAGGTTACGTCGGATCCATAGGCATTTCCGAAGGCTTGAGAAAACCCAGCGGGCAGCATCGATTCGGGAAACGATGTCGTCCTTATTCTGCCCATTAGACAGCAGCCTAGCCCCTAGGTATTTAAAACTGTCCAATTCTTCAAGTTGACAGCCATCAATCCCGAGGGGTGACTTCTCCTGGTCAGGGATGCAGCTTGAAAACACTTTGGTCTCCCCAGCGTTTATAGGTAAACCAACCGATTTAGCGACCTCGTTCACTCGTGACACCATAGACTGCAGATCATCAAAACTTCACGCAGTCTCTACAAGTTTAGGCTGTGCACGGCTTGGCCTCCCCTGAAAACACGTTGTTGCAATGTACCGTTTTAGTAAACTGGATTTGTCGCGACAGTGCTAAAACACACCATACGACAGTTGAGCCGTCGTTACTGTCGATGTCCACCGTGTTCTGCACAGCAAAGTGGGTGCGGAGACGGTGACTTGGGCTGGAATTACTTTACAGTGACAGTGTTGGATAAACACGTACCCTTTACTCCATCCACTGATAGGCAGTATTGCCCATACAGAGCGTCCGTGTAGGTCAGAACAATAAAACAGCTAACTAGCCAGCGGCCAACGTGTGTAGACGGCCCCTCTCCCGCAGCCCAGGTCTGCCAAATCCGTTTACTCGCCGGTGGCAGACATTTTTCAAGCATCGATGTGTTTAGACCTCATCTAATGTCTGTATGATTCAACCAGCAAACTGTTGTGTGGCCATTTTTGCTGGATTCTTTTGTTTTTGAGCCCACTGTGAGCAATAACTCGGGCACTTCAGTTGATCATTACAGCGATGACTCGATTGATTTCGACTGTCGATGTTTTCACATTTGAAACGAATTAACAGCGTGTCAGGCTTCCTGCGATTTGCAGACAACTATTTGGTGCTTTTCAGGGAGTGGTTTCTTATTTCTCGGTAGCGGTCGTACTCCTGATTGGATTCGACTGCCCGGTCGAATCTCTTGTTCCCCGCCTATTCGAAGATTGCCTGCTTCCGCAAGACACGAGAGTTTACATTCAGTGAATCCTTTTCAGCCCTCATCCGAATGAGCCGAAAACCAACAAACTAAGCAGTTCAAGAATGACAGTTTGCCTTGCGGCATTTGCCACATTCTGCATGGTTGGCCTATTTTCAATAACGTCCTCTTGCCCGGTTGTCATCATTTGTTTTACTTCCGCCCCCCCCCTCCCCCCTCAGGGTATTTTGGGGAGCGTCTATCTTGACGATCAAGAGCTTCTGTCGTGGACAATGACAGCGATTGATCTGCGAAATGCGATCCCGGCTCTTTCAGGCCAGAGCGACTCGTGAGATGTTCTTTGACGCGAACTTGCATTCGTTTCTTTTTTTGTCTTTTTTTGCATGCCTTCAGCCCCGTCTTCTGCCTGTGTATTTGCAGTTCCACGCAGTCCCTCCTTCCCGAAGTCGGCAAGATCTTTGCGGGAGACGTGGAGGTACCTGTCGCCGACGGACGTCCTGAAGACACGTTTGCCGTGTTGAATGGATTTACGAGGGTATGCCTAGGAAGGGAATACAGCTCAGCTAATTCACTGACTCTTGCTTTTTCACATGTGTAGGAAGTTTTAGAGTTACTTCGACATGTCTGCTTTCTACCTGACGATTTGGGCCACTTGGTCTGCCGCCACGTGTTGGTAGTTTGTTCACAAAAAACGGTTACCAATTTAGGATGGGTACAGTCTGACCTACGCACTGGCACGTAATTATCCAAATGATGGTGCATTAGCGCGGACAGATTTTTGGCGCATTTTTGTCGAATGTACGATCGTGACCCTCTAGGTCCACGATGGTTTCGACGTGCGATATACGCAAGTTGTGCAGACCTTAATCGATCCTTCTTCCTCCTGCTTCTAACGTTCGCAAATGTTGAGCTTTTATGGCCCTAACGGCGGCTAGAATGCTCAAGTTGCTGTCCGATCCGCCTAAGCTTGGAAAACCTGCTGGGCTGGATGGTTGATTCTGCATCAGGAAGCAGACCTCGAGCTTGAGTTTCGGATTCGCATAATGCCTCGACCGGAGTTTTTTTATTGGTATATGCCCCGGACCTCGCCTCATAAATGTACTTCTGAACAATCAGTTCAATTGACTTTTATAATGCAAGTTAAGGTATTCTCATAATCCCACAGTTGCCATGGTTCAAAGCCACCAAGCCAGCCGCCCGCATGTAATTACCTTCGCCGGGACCCACCTTCTCCCTGGCGCTGACTGGAATTGTGGTGTTTCACTCCCCCCCCCCTCCCCTCTCCAAACCCGAGCTACGGCTCAATTATCTACTTGCCCGTATCTTTTAATTCATTACTTAAATAGCCATCTAAATGTACAGGCCTGAAGAGAATTTATCGAAAGCAGACGTATGCTCGCCAAATTGCCTTTTGTATTCTCATAATTCTTTCACCGATAAAAGTACTGTTTTTGTCCACCTACTTGGTCCGCAGGGTGTCCTTATGATCAACGATGTCGTCATCGGTCGTTATGATCCTGGCGCCGGACCTCAAATCAGTCTATACATCCCTGCTAGTGTCCTTGTCCTGGGCACCAACACTGTCAAAGTCCTAGAGCTGAGCGGACTTCAAGGACGGTGCCTCAAAAATGCAACCGAATGCACGGTTACTTTTCGGGACTCTATGCTGTGGCGTAAGTAACGTCCCGCAGTAACTGTTTGCTGTCCGCCCGAACGCCCCACTAGGCAACAAATGCAACCTGATGCGCTGTCAAGATTGACTTTGTCAGTTTGCCTTTTTTACAGACGTTCACTTCCTGCTTTAACATTTTCCTCAACTGACTCCTCATCTTTTTTACACGTCGATTTCTATTAATTATATCTGGGGGTGTACTTGACTGTTAAGAAGTTATTCTTGGTCAAAAAGAGCTATTCCAAGTAGTAAATTTAGGGGTCCTAGATACTGGGAAGAAGAGGATTCTATAACTGCGACAAGGATTTTACTGGTCTTACGTTTCGGTCTCTCGCTCGAACCAATCACAGCGGTAGAGGAGGAACGCGTACTAATCAAAATCGGCGAATTCCGTATTCATCTTACTGGGTGCACTGATTTCGTAACCGCGTGCATTCGAGTCAAGTTTTGACGACCTACAGACCGCGGTATCATGAGTGATTGAGACCGTTAAATCGATTGATTTATCTGCAAAAGTTGGGGAGACCAGTGTATTCGTTAGCTATATTCCTGATTACGAAAAGACATAGCCTAGGATCAATGGTTGTCAGCTAGGGGAAGTCGATAGTCTTTAATAACTTAGAGCGAGGACGACATCCATTCCTGAGATGGTAATTATCCTAGAGTTTTCGCAACCCTTGAGGGCGTCCACGGACTCCACGTGATGCCCTTATCACCACAAGCACCCACCTGCACCATGCATCCGTCCAGCCAGTGCTATACGGTTGTCAACGCTGGGTTGTGCAGGTGTGGGCGAAAATTGGCGTTTGACCACCGTTGTCTGCGAATGATGCTCCGAGTAAGGTACACTTTGTCTCGAATGAGAACAAACTTCGACGACACCACGAGAATATTTCAGGCCTCCCGATAGGGAGACCGAAGTGGTTTAGGCCCGCTCTATCAACGTAGTGCTTTTGTTGTCATGATCCGGCGTCTAGACGGGGGTCGGCTAAAACTGGCTTGATACAGTCCGCCAAGGCATGGATGTGGTTCTTGAACCCTCGCTATTCGGTCTCCGTCGTTGGCAGGAAGCAAGGATCAAACTCCGAGGATCTGGTAGCCAGGAATGGGGAAGCGGACGGCGATCTTAATCCTAATCTTAACCGTAACCTCAAAAGTTAACCGCAACGGTAATCCTAAACCTAACCGAAATCGTAAACGTGGCCCTTAGGCATAGCCCTAACCGTAATACTGAAACCTGATCGTAAGCTCAAACCCTAACCGTAACCCGAAAACTTAAGCCTAAAGGCATAACCCTAACCCCAAAAATCGAAAGCCATTAACCGATTCCCTTATCCTAACCTCAAGCGTAAAACGGAATCCAAATGGATCAGATGTCATTATGGAGCCCCACAAAATAGCCTCAGTAAACACCCCTCCCCCGCCACCTGTAATACGGGTCCTGGCTACCAAATGCGATCTAGCCAGTTCTTGTTCTAACGATCGGGCCTCTTTCTTCTCGACTGTTTCCTAAGTCGGCCTTTTGTTTGCGTCGACGCCACGTAATGCTACCGAGAACTCGACTCTCTCGTCGGAGACGATGATTGGTCGTAGGGAAGTGATGTTGCATTGTGTGGGTTGCCTGAGTATGATGGCTGGTTTGACATATTCGCCAGTTGCCATCTTCAACAAATTGCGTTTACGTCGTGGACGAACAGTTGGGGAGCTCAAGTGGATATGGCAGACGAGCCTTCCCCTTTCGAAATATGAGCTGGGTTTGAGGGTTTGCAGTGTTCGCTTTATTCAGAAGTCAGCAATCCTTACGGATGGGATAAGTCTACCTGGAGGTTTAGTAGGTGCAACAGATCCAAAATTGTTGCAGACGATTCAGCGATAGGAGTGGTATTTAGGGGCATTGTGCGTGGATCTAGCGTGCTTGTGAGGAACTTCCTCCGGCTTCCCACTGCAATACTACACTGACCCATACTTGCCCGTACTCATCAACAATAGTCGTTCTTCGAACACTCCGATGCTCTGTATTCCTGGCATTGTTTCTGGTCATTCCCTGATACCAAAAGCCTCTGTCTGGTTCTCATCCAGCCACAGCTATCCAAACCAGCAAATTAACTTCAAGGGCGACTCAAACATGTCCTCACCTCAGGCGTCCTGACGCCTGCCTCGGTGGCTTTCTTTCGGCTGCCATTTTGGCCCAACCTATTCTCCATTCATTCTGCACAGAATACAGTGCCCTCTTGGGTGGGGTCTTGCTTCTCTTCCTACCCGGGCCTGGGTCTGCAGGTCATTCTGGTTAAGGTCTGTCCATGGCATTAGCCACCACGATGTAAACACCTGATACACCGGACTTCCCACCCCCCGGTGACAGAAGTTGCAGGGATAGGGGAGTCGATGTGTACTCACTGGATTGGGTATGGTTGACTGGGGTCCCACAGCTTCTAATGGCGGGATGTTTTAAGGAGTAGTGATGGAGTTTGTTCCGGAGGTAGGATTGGTCGGATGCATATGGGGACGGAGATTTTCGCCAGTGTTGATCTGGTTCGAAAGCATGTGTCCATGATGACGGCAGGTGTACAGATTGGTCAGTAATGGAAGAGAATATCCGCATCGCAGGTTCTTGTTTAAAAGAGGACGAAGGCACGATCACTGGGACAGTAGATTTATTTGCCTGAGCTTTCGAACTCGAACTGCAGTTCATCATCAGAGACTGCTTGAGTGCAGCAACGTGTGAACATTTATATCGCTGTTCCTTGCGGGGGGAGGGGAACTACGTCCGTGGCTAGGTAAGGTTTGTGCCGCCTGGTCCACGATGGTCCCCCGGCGTAGTGACGCCGTTTGTACTTCGCGACGATGTGAGCTGCGCCACCTGGCTGCGTGGGCGGAACGCGTGATAACACGCAGGCAAATCGATGTGTCTGTTGATAGAGGCGGTGTCCGGCACCCACGCCTCCAACAGTTCTCGTCCTGTCTTGTTGCCGGCTCGCGCCAATATCTGCGTGTTGGCGAAGTCGAACTCATGGCACAAACCTTACATAGCCACGGACGTAGTCCCCCTCCCCCCGCAAGGAACAGCGATATAAATTTTCACACGTTGCTGCACTCAAGCAGTCTCTGATGATGAACTCCAGTTCGAGTTCGAAAGCTCAGGCAAATAAATCTACTGTCCCAGTGATCGTGCCTTCGTCTTCTTTTAGATTGGTCAGTATTTTTGCAGTTTTCTGCACAGCGCAGTCTAAACAGGATGTTTTTTGGATACGAAGTCCGCAGCGTTGTACGCTGGGATTCTGTTCTTACCCTTTGCCCTTAGCCTCCCATATACGAGTAACGTCAAAAATAACGACCTCCTGGTTGTGAACCTTCAAGGTGCCCCTTCTGGCGGAAATCCGTTACTACCTCTTCCAAAACGGTCAGCTCGGTAGACCTTCATCCGATATCCACCGGAGCTGTGTCTGCCTTGGTACTGAAAAGATGCGCAGCGTGCCAGTCGGCTTCAGGACCTGGGTGTTCATGATCTGTCCTTCCATCTTCGCGCTACGAATTCTCCCAAGTCGACTTGGATGGAAGTGTTTTAGCCTCTTAGCTTTCTTTTTGACAGAAAGCCTTTGTCTACGGATTGTGATGAATTTCTATTATGATGACGGCAACGTACACCCTGAGCATGTTCGAGTGGCGCCACGGCAGTTGCAGTGGTTTAGTTTTGAGTCCTGGGACAATAATTTCTTCTTCGACATTGATGCTCCTTTGGATAGTGCTGCCTAAGTAGCAGAACTGGGTCACAGCGGTGAGACGCCAAACATTGATAATGACCATGGCTTCGGTGCATTCCGCAGCCGAAGACTTGGCTACGTGGTTGGTCAGACTGAGGTCGTTGGCGTCCTGAAACAAAAACGTCCAGGCACTGCCGTATGTGGACTTCGGCCACGGTGGTTGATTCGCAGTCCTTGTCGAAGATCATTTCGTTCATGCTGGTCTTGCAGACTTTTGCTAGGGTCCACATAGGTCGGATATTGGACAGCTTCCTATCGGTCCAATACTCGATATCGGTTCAAGGTCGCTCAGTGAGGTAACTGTTCACAACGCCCTCACAGAGGACGCCAGGCCGAACATGGTTGAGGTAATCCCTCAACCCTACTGCATCTCATTTATTACATCAAAGACTTCTGAGCTTACTCCGTCATGCGTCGTAAAGTTGCCTGACCAGCCTAAATTATCCCGGAAATTCAACTGTCATCGGTATTTTCCATAATTTCCTTCTGTTAAAGAGCCTTCTGAGGTGAATGAAAGTCACTTCATTTCCATCTCCTGCTGCTTCTCCCTAAGTTGTCGGACTGCGAAGACCATATTGACAGTTCAACTGTGTTCTACGTGTCTTCTGATAGTCCCTGGCAGCAGTCTTTTTTCTCACGTGTAAGATCAGTAGGTTAAAAACGAGGACAAAGATCAAACTGCCAGTTTTAAAAAAGAGAGATGTCTCCATTGTTTTCGCATCTTGTCAGAGGCGCACAAATAATTCCAGTAGCTATTGGCCCCGAGGTCGAGGAACGGTGTATTTGCAGACTTCCACGGGAATTGAGTCGACGTCCAGAGCATTGCCATTCGGGCGCCGCTACACTACCCTGTTCTTCTCCTGCAGGGAGGGTAGGCGACTAAGGTCATTGTTGGCTTTGCGTTTTCGTACATGGAAGAATAAGGGTTCAATGCCCGTGCTTTCTAAGACGGCGGTATTGCTCTGTCCGAACATACTAGCTGCGGGGTTTTACTGTATTGAGGGCTTTAGATTGCCGCGAAGTCCTTCATTTCCTCATGTTTATCCTCTCTTTTGCGTCAGCTATTCAGTTCAAATTTACCTTGGCCTCCACTGCAGTTGGTATAGATATAGAGAAAATTCAGCCCAGTTCATGGTCTTTTTGTAATTATGTAAATCAGACGGGATTGCATCTTGAAGAAGAGCAAACTCTGGACTTATTAACCAGTGCGCAGATCCAGTTTTTTCCGTAACGATGGATTAGGTGTCG